TTTTTGGTGACTAAAAATTTAGTAGCCAAAACTATATGAGACTTTAGGCGACTAAATAGTTTAGTAGTAAAAAACGAGATGAAAAAAAATTTTTTTTGGCGACTAAATATTTAGTCGCCAAAAGTGTTCAAATAAAATAAATTAAATTTTCAGTGACTAAAACTTTTTGTCGTAGATAAGTTTTAGTCACAACATTACTACATTTAGGGACTAAAGAATTTAGTAGCCAAAAAATTATTTTTCATTAAATTTTATTTTTTACTACTAACCATTTGGTCGCCGAAAGTCTTCATTTATTTTTGGCTACTAAACTATTTAGTCGCCTAAAGTCTTATATAGTTTTGGCTACTAAATTTTTAGTCACCAAAAATCTTTGGGTTCTTTCTGGCTACCAAATATTTAGTCGCTAAAAACATTGATTTCCTTTTTGACTACCAATTGGTTAGTCACTAACAAATTCACTTTTTCTTTTTTGGCTACTAAACATTTACTTGCCAAAAACTTTATTTAGTGTTTTTTATTATAATTTATTTATCCACAACCTGTATTTATTTCGTGTAACCTACACCCTGTATATAAACAAAATAATACATATTTCTATTTCGTTTCAACCATACAAAAATTTGGTGTTTTAACATCAAATTCTATACAAATCAAATATAATCCAACCCAAAATAATAATTCCATACAAACAGATATCCTTTGTACACAAAATTCTACATCAAATGTCATTTACAGAATATTTTGAAGGTGTAAACATGATGGGAAAATTAAATTTATTTACTAAAACACTTGCTTAATTTAACAATGAAGCCATTGATCTAAAGGCTTCTTATCCTTCAAGCTTGCTTCATATAGTTTGGTACCTTTCTTTCTGAAGACACCAACTGCAAAATAATAATCAACCTCCCAATCAGCGGAAGCATTTAGCATATAAGTATAGATAATTAAACAACTTAAATAGAAAGACAATTAAATTGATGATAACAAATCTCCCTGCTGATGAAATTAGTTTCAATTTCCTGGCATAGTTAACTGAAAACAAATACATATGTTCAGAACCAACTAAATATTAACTTTTTTTTGGGTGAATAAAAATATGAACTTATAACCCATAGTGATACATAAACTAGGCTTAATTCAAAGAAGAAGAAGAAGAAGAAGAAGAGAAAGAAAAACACAATCAGCTTCTTGCAAATGCATATGGATGATGGGTAAAATGATGCAACTAAGAAGATTTTGTTTAACAAAAAATTGAAGGTTACATATCCTAGCAGTATATATTATTATACATAGAGTCAAACACAACCTAAAAATATTAAATGTTAGATAATTTCAAATAGTAATTGATAGCAATTGCAAACTCCAATTTTCAATTATACCTTGCACCGGGACTCGATGACGCATGTAAACACAATATGGGATTGTGAACTTTCTGAATGTATGCTTGTTGCTCCGACCTTCCTACTTGAAAGCCCCTAAGCCAGAAATAAAAGTTAACAGGCATAAAAGAAAATCCATGAAGTATCAACAAGTGGCAATCTGTAGCACTAATTCAATAAACAACAAGAAACGTGCTCATGGAAAAAAGAACAAAACTTGAATGCCTTGTTATTTGCTACCTTAATTAATATTTGGGTTATGTCCTCATAACTGGTCACATATTCCTCGGTCAAATTCTCAACATAAAATCCATGTTTGGTATCATCCCTTATCTGCAGCAGTTTAACCACCATTAAGCACACATAAAAGTAATCCAAAAAGGTATTGAAGAGAGAGAGAGAGAGAGTAATACCCACCTCTAGGTTTCGTTGGGTTGGATCAATTAATTCTCCGATTTGTTCATTGTATATCTAAGACAGCAAAAGATAAATAAAATCAACATAAATTCTCAATCTGTCCGATTCATGTCACAGACATAAAGAAGTAATACACCTTATACCATTTAAAGCAAAAGGCCCAAATATTTAAATAAATACATAAACACACACAAACCTCAAGGAATGAACAGCGGCACTGAAAATTTATTTGTTTACCTTCTGAGTTCTCTTTTTCCTACATGAAATTTGAAAATAGACTACAATCAATCACAACTTAAAATCCTCATATTACTTGCATTGCCTTTCACATCTCCAGTTTTAACTTGTAACCAACCAATTGTCACTAAATTAGTTCCTATGAACATAATTGAGGGAAGACAAGAAGATAAACTATCACATAGTAGCACACAGCTGCAATGGCATATTTAGGCAGCATGATGATTATGTTAACAAGCATGCTGAAAATTAAAAAATTAAACAAGATAGTAATATACACAAAATTCTTTCCAATTCACCTGTTGTGTCCTATCTCCATGAATAGTAGTGGCATGAAACCCACTAGTATACAACCAATGTTTCAATGCGTCAGCTCCCTTCTTTGTTTCCACAAATACCAAAGTCAGAGATTGTTTCAAAATTTAATAACATTCAAAATTCAATCAAGCAATGCACGCCAACTGGAACCAAACGTATAATGTATCTGACTAGAAAATTAACAGTAAGCATTAATAGTCAGAAGGAGACTATGCATCAGTAAGTTTCTGCATACAAACCATAGCGTCTTCAGTAATGAAGTATTTTGGTGTAAGCTCTAGCAGTGCTAAAATAGCACAGTACAACAAAAACACTCACTCTAACAGTTGAGTATATGTTGTGAAAAATAAACCTGACCATCAAATTCTTAATACTACACCGCTTGCTCGGGATAGAAATTAATGAAAATGTTCTGTGCCATCAAAAAATACCTATTACACTATCAGTCAAATGCATCAAAAAATAAATTTAAAATTCTTAATCCAATGTAAATGCTCAAAGTTCAATATGTTAGCAAGCCCTCAACACATGAGCCTGCAAGCTCTATTCAATATGAAGAAATATAACAAACTTGTGTAGGAAATAAACATGTGAGGCTAATCAACCAAGCAAGCAAATAAATGAACTATTTCAATTAACTAACTGTAATAAAAGTGACCAAAATAACTGTTAGACATAATTTTTCCAGAAGATTAATCCAACATTAAGACTCTATTTACATTATCAATTATAACTCATTTCTCAATGATTAATTCAACAATTATGTTGATAGAATATATATATATATATATATATATGACCATCTAAATAATAGAAAACCTATGACAACCTTACAGAAAATAAACCTACTTTGTTGTCCACATCTCTATGGTTATCAATCATTTTATCCTCTGTTATTAACAAATCATCCAACACAGTAGCTCTAATTAGGTGAAATTAATGGGCTTACATACATTTTCATCTAACTTATATAGTATTAAACTAGACAATTATTCTATAGTCAAAACAGATCAAAAAATCTAATGCCTACAATTGACAGAATGAAATAATCTCACATTACATGTTCTTTTTCTTTTTTCCATAAGGGAATTTTCAGACTTGAACTCAATTTTTCCCCCTTAATACAATTTCATGAATAGACTAATTTCCCCCAAAAACATGCTCACAGAATTTTACAGGCACATTTCCAGAATTTTAAAAACCTTAAAAATGTGTGAAAATAACCCAACCAATACAATTGCAACCATTTTCCATAAAACAGAATTCTAATTTCTATTCAAATGTGAAGCACAATTTTTGCATTAGAAAATGCCTATAACTTATACAAATTATATAAGAAACTATATATGCATATAATAGTTTTTGTGTTATTAGTTACAGATTTTAAAAACCAAAATTACTAAAGGACAAGTCAAAACCATTACCTTCAGGTACCAATCCCAAAACTTCATTTCTCTATTTCACTTCTTTTTCCACTGAAAATTTGTACAAAAATGAGCAATTAGGGCAAGTTCCTTTCAGCAATTAACAATCAAATAGCCATACTCAAACGCATACACACAGATTTATGTGAAGGTGTATGGGTTTTTGTGAGTGAATGGTGAAAGAAAGAGAGACAGAAAAACAGAGCCGAGAGGAAGAGAGAGGATCTCAGGCGACGGTGACCAACAAGGAGGTGAATCGGTGCTCCGGTTGCCGGCCAACGTGAGGAGGACCGGCGGTGAGAGTGGAGGGGAGAGGAGCAGCGGTGAGGGAGATGAAGAGGGAGAAGGACGTTGAAGAGAGAGAGAGAGAGAGAGAGAGAGAGAGAGAGGCGCTATTAATGGTTTAAGGTTGGGTTTGGTTTGGTGAGAGCGTGAGATATTTTATGTAAATGGTTATTGGCGACAAAAACTTTTTGTCGGTAAAGGTATTTTATAATTCCCTCTAAATATTTGAAATGTCTCCCTCCAAAACATTTACTTCTTTGGCGACTAAAATTCAATTTTGTCACTAAAAACAATCTTTTGGCGACCAAAAGTTTGGTCGCCAAAGATAAAAATTAATTTTTTATTTTACATTTGCCGACTAAAGGTTTTAGTAGCCAAATCTATACCTACGGCGACTAAAATTATTTTTCGTCGTAGAAAATCAACTTTTGGCGACTAAAATTAATTTTTTATTTTACATTTGCCGACTAAAGGTTTTAGTAGCCAAATCTATACATACGGCGACTAAAATTATTTTTCGTCACTGAAAATCAACTTTTGGAGACTAAAATTTTAGTCGCCAAAAAGTAAAAATTAATTTTTTATTTTACATTTGCCGACTAAAGGTTTTAGTAGCCAAATCTATACCTACGGCGACCAAAATTATTTTTCGTCATTGAAAATCAACTTTTGGCAACTAAACTATTTGTCGCCAAAGATAAAAATTAATTTTTTATTTTACATTTGCCGACTAAAGGTTTTAGTAGCCAAATCTATACCTACGGCGACTAAAAGTATTTTTGGTAGCTGAAAATCAACTTTTGGCAACTAAATTTTTAGTCGCCAAAGACAAAAATTAATTTTTTATTTTACATTTGCCGACTAAGGGTTTTAGTAGCCAAATCTATACCTACGTCGACTAAAATTATTTTTTGTCGCCAATTTCTAGCATTTTTGCCGACTAAATTTCTTTTAGTCGCCAATTGTGATATTTTTAGCAACTAAAATTTTTTTTAGTCGCCAATTGTAATATTTTTAGCTACTATTTTTTTTTTAGTCGCCAATAATGAACATTCCCCTACGAAAAAAAATTAGTAGCTAAAAAGTTGACTTTTGCCGACTAATATTATTTTTTTTTATTTTTATTTTTATTTTTATTTTTATTTTTAAAAAAGAAGCTTCTTTCAATTTTATTTTTCTTATTTAAAAAAAAAGAAAGTCAAATTTCAAGTGGAGACATAAAATGTCATTGTTGTTAATCTATTCATACTGGAAAAACAAAAACAAATTTAAGATTTGACAATCTCTATACGAAAAATTCAAGATTTGACAACCTTTTCATAAAAATAAAAATAAAATAACTATTTTGTTTAGTCAAATTTTCAAGTGGAGACTAATGGTATTGTTGTTAATAAAATAAAATAAGTATTTTGTTTAATCATTTTTGGCGACCAAAATTTTGGTCGCCAAAAGATCAAAAATAAATTTTTTTATTTTCATTCGGCTACCAAACAATTTAGTAGCCAAAAGTAGGTCTACAGCGACTAAAAGTTATTTTGTCACTGAAAATATATTTTTGGCGACCAAAATTGCCAAAGATCAAAAATAATTTTTTTTATTTTCATTCGGCTACCAAACAATTTAGGAGCTAAAGGTGCCTCTACGGCTACTAAAATTTATTTTAGTCGCCAATTGTGATATGCTTAGCTACTAAAAATTTTTTTAGTGGCCAATTGCAATATTTTTAGCTACTAAATTTATTTTAGTCGCCAATAATCAGCATTCTCCTACTAAAAAAAAATAGTTGCTAAAAAGTTCACTTTTGCCGACTAAAATTAATTTTGGTAGCCAAAAATAGTCGCCAAAAATGTGTTTTCTTGTAGTGTACTCCTAAATATTTTTAGCTACTAAATTTATTTTAGTCACCAATAATCAACATTCCCCTACTAAAAAAAATTAGTAGCTAAAAAGTTCACTTTTGCCGACTAAAATTAATTTTGGTAGCCAATTCCCACACTTTTGGCGACTAAATTTGTTTGGTAGCCAAAAATGATCGCCAAAAATGTGTTTTCTTGTAGTGTACTCCTAAGAAGATCATTTTTCAAAAAAACTAAATACATAAATAATTAATTAAACAAGTATAAGTTATTTCATTTCATTTTTCTTTTTCTTTCATTTGATAAATGCTAGAAAGAGGAATATTAAAATTATTAGAAGGGAATCAAACCCATAACACCCCAAAACAAGAACATCTTGCTATCCTCTCTTCACTCTTTCACATTAAGTTAGACAAGTATGCAGATTTTACGAGATTTTTTTGAAATTCTAAATTATTATATATATTCCCAAAAAATCGCGGACATAGTTTACATTTATATTAAGATAAAAATGAAAGAAACACAATACATAGTTTGCATGGCCTTGTGGTCACGTTTTGATTAATGTAGTAAGAAATTCTATTGAAATTGATAATTTTGCGTAGGATCCGGTTGTCGTTAACGTTAAGTTCTGATTGGGAAAAGCCAAAGGGGGTCTCAGCTTTTGGTTGCTTGGCCATTTCAAGGTTTTACACGTTAAAAGTCAAACAAACGGTTTCAACAATGGTAACCTCACAAAATCCAAAGACTGAGAAATGGTCTAAACTGTGTATCCATTCAAAAGTGTTGAACCCCAACCTCTATTTATACACCATGGAACACTTCTCCATTTCAATTCACTCTCTACACTCTTCAAATCCTATAAACTCATCAATACCCAAGTAAGCAACAAGAGATATTCATACTCCCAACTCCTTTTTACCATTCAATAGTTGA